TTATATTTTATTAATTGTTGGTGTTAATTTCTTACTGTTTCTAACTTGTAAATTAAACTTTATCATAGATATGTACATATAGAGAAAACACAGTATAGATCGGATTTGGTACCATCCAGTCTCAGACACCTACTGGAGGTCTTTGAACATATCCCTTGGAGCTAAGGAGGACTACTGTATGTGTGAAATGTTTTCTCATCATTAAAGTTGCAGTAAATAAAGTACAATTAGGTCACTATGGAAACTGATTTTTCAGAAATGAATAGTGAATGTTGGCTCTGCAAATCAGGTTGCCTGTTGCTCTTTAATAAACCCAGAATTCGCCGAAACCGGTTTGGCTCAGTGGATAGAGCGTCGGCCTGTGGACTGAAAGGTCCCAGGTTCGATTCCGGTCAAGGGCATGTACCTGGGTTGCGGGCACATCCCCGGTGGGGGATGTGCAGGAGGCAGCTGATCGATGTTTCTCTCTCATCGATGTTTCTAACTCTCTATCCCTCTCCCTTCCTCTCTGTAAAAAATCAATAAAAAATATATTTAAAAATAATAATAATAATAATAATAAACCCAGAATTAATATTTGGTTAACTTGCCTAAAAACAGTTCTTTCAAATCAGTTCTTTCCACTAATTGCAACAGTGGGCCATTTGAGTCATAGGCCCCTCTGACATCTGTCAGATTAACTTTTCAGTCACTTTCAGATAGTGAGACTTGGTCCTGTCCACCTATCCCTTTTAAACTATTTCATATTTGACTCTAACCTCCCTGCTATCCCCAGCACCAGTTGGTGATAGGGCATAGGAGCAGGATGGGGTGCTCAGGTAAGCTCTGTTCTCTCAAACCTCCCTTTCCACCCTCATTTTTGATGAGTTACATTGGTCTTGCTCTTGTTGGAGACTTGTCACTTTGCCAGCAAATCCCACTGGAAAAGTAACTGCCCTTTCCCTTTGTCATCTCCTCTAGTCCAGCTGGTAAGGGTGAAGTGCCAGAACATGCCATCCTGAGAAAGCAGTTTCTCTAGCCATTGGTTGCATCTAAAGAGACTGGGCTCCATCTTCTAGCTGATCCCCCTATTGACAGAACAAGCCACAATCCTCAACGCTTATGCCTCTTGGCACCTTACTATAACGGCCCCCAGCAAGACTACAGCCTCCATAGCCCCCCATATCTCATATATTCTTGTACTTCCTGGCCTTTAACCAAACCATCCTTGTCACTCTCCACCCCACCTGAATCAGCAAGCCTGAAATGAGCAAGCTGCCCAGCTTCATGGATGGAAGCCACTTCAGCACCATCCCTCTGCCAGTCTTTCTCATATAAAGCAACTTTCCCATCTCCTAGTTTGTAAAAACTAGCTTTGCCTTTCCCTTTCCCCAATGGGAATCTCCTGCCAAGAACTAGAGAGACTTTCTTTAAACTTAGTTGTCAATGCAGTACTTCCTTATCTGTAATTACCCCTCTGAAATCCCCAATCCTTGGAATCTCTAACTCAAAGGTCTCCTGTGAATCCGCCCTATCCTCATAATACTTTTCAAGTTTCTCTCCAACTGGTCAGTAGGTACCGAGGAGCATTTGAACCTCCCTAGCTTCTAGGCAGGCCAGGCAATATATCAACCTTTCATGTGGCCCTTTAAATATTGAAGTCATTTCTCAAAATACATGTAAACACATATAAAAACCTTAAACATTTTACCAAAAGTGAAAATTGCTGAACTAAGTAGCAATAAGAAACTTTTATAGAACCAAGATGGTGGCATAGGTAAATGACGTTACAGCGTCCCACAACCACATCTAAATTACAACTAAAATACAGAGCAACCATCCTTCAGAACTGCCTGAAATCTGGCTGAATAGAATTTCTACAAATAAGTAAAGAAAATACATGAACACTGGTGGGAGGGGCAGAGGCACTGAACAGGCTGGTTGGACACCCACATCTGGCATTTTTTTCATCAGGAGGGATATCTCAGCTACAGAGGCCTCCTGAGAGAAGCAAGGGGTCCCAGGGTTCCAGAGCTGGGAATCTTATATATTAAAAGCCTAACATGCAAATCGATCAAACAGCAGAATGACAGGTGGAACAACCAGTCACTGACACACACTGTCCACCAGGAGGGAGACACTCAACACAGGAGCTGCTCCCAGACCGCAGGCCCCAGACCAGGCAAGGTGGGTGCCAGTCGGCCCTCCCCCGCCCCCAGTCACCCCACAGAGGGAGGTGACTGGCTGCAGAGCAATTGGGGGCCAGGGCCAGTGAGTGGGTGGTGCCAGGCCAGCCAAAGCAGGTGCCAGCGGGGGGTGCCCAAACACCCCGCCGGTCGCCCCATAGATCAGCCCTAATAATCGGCCAGGCCTAGGGACTCTATCTGTGCATGAATTTCGTGCACCGGGCCTCTAGTTTGGGCTATAAAAACCAGCAGGGATTGGCCTAGTGATACGAAGGCTGCTGGAGACCCAGGCAGTTTCTCATAAAGAGCCAGTGCTCGGACTCACTTCCTCTGAGCTGTAGCACTGGGGCAACAGCTTGGGGGTGGGGGTGGCGTAGATCCAGGGACATATGGGAGAAATCTGGATTATCTAGAATTGGAGCAAGAACTCAGGGGTGGCTTTCTCTCAGGTGGGGGTGCTCACTGGGTCATTGTTCCTATGCTGAGATCTCCCCTATCACAGAGCTGACTTGCAGCCATATCTGAGTTTCCATCAGCTTGGTTCACACTGTTGGTTCCACCTGGAAATTCCTGGAGGCTACACCTCACCCAATTTGCAACCCCACCCAAGCTGTTTGCAGTGGCTTTTCCATATGAATGGCCTGTCCTGGCTCAGGCTTCAGACATTCCTAAAACCTCTCAAACATGCAGCAGCTGGCATCAGGGTGCCCCATATCTATGAATTAGAAGCCCAAGACCTGGCACTAGCACCAGCCTGCCTTGCTTCATAGCTTGGCCTCAGCTGGGCACTTCTAAGCCCAACACAAGTAGCAGCCATCTGCAGATAGCTCTGTAGCTCCTGCCAGGTGGCCCCAGGCAGTGGCCGACTTTGCACCTCCCAGGAGCCCCCAAAGCCACTGTACCCTAGGTGGACAGTTTCAGACCATAGCAGATTACAACTGTACACATCCACAAGTGACACACTCAAGGGGCAGACTCAGGGAGCACCAAAGCCCCACTGAAGCAAGTCCTGCTCCATAGGGGTGTCTCCCACACAGCAGCTCTTCCACTGTATCCACAGCTGGCCCTCACAGCCAATTGGCCTGGAGGGCAATTCCTCCCAGTGACGCCAACAGCAATCAAGGCTCAACTACAACAAGTCTGTGCACACAGCCCACACAGGGGGGAACTTAGAGTGCCCACCTTATGTGACTGGGGAGGCTAAGTCTTTGGGCCCTACAGGACACCTACTACACAAGGCCACTTTACCAATTAGCAGCTCTACCTAATACATAGAAGCAAACACAGGAAAGCAGCCAAAATGTGGAGACAAAGAAACATGTCACAAATGAAAGAACAGAAGAAATCTCCAGAAAAAGAATTAAATGAAATCACAGCAAGCAAACTAAAGGATACAGAGTTCAAAACAATGATTATAAGGTTGCTCAAGGATCTTAATGAGAGCTTCAAGGACTTAGTGAGACGTTCAGGATCTTAGTGAGAATTTCAAAGATATGAAAAAGGAACAGTCAGAAATGAAGGATACACTAACTGAAATGAAAAATAATTTACAGGGGATGAACAGCAGAGTAGAGGATACCAAGAATCATATCAACGATTTGGAATATGAGGAACCAAAAAACACCCAGTCAGAAGAGCAAAAAGAAAAACAAAATCCCAAAATATGAAGACAGTGTAAGGAGCCTCTGGGACAACTTCAAACGTACCAACATTCACATTATGAGAGTGCCAGAAGGAGAAGAGAACAAGATATTGAAACCTATTTGAAGCAATAATGACAGAAAACTTTCCCTACCTGGTGAAATAAATATACTTACAAGTCCAGGAAGGGCAGTGAGTCTCAAACAAGAGGCCCATACCAAGACACATCATAATTAAAATGGCAAAGGTTAAAGACAAAGAATCTTAAAAGCAGCAAAAGAAAAGCAGTTAGTTACCTACAAGGGAGCTCCCATATGACTTTCTGCTGATTTCTCAACAGAAGAAGAGGAGGAAGAGGGGGAGGAGAAAGAGGAAGAAGAGGAAGAGGAGGAAGAAGAGGAGAAGGAGGAAGAGGAAAAAAGAGAAAGAGGAAGGAGAGGAACAGGAGGAAGAGAAGAATAAAATGGCAATAAATACATATCTATCAACAATTATACCTAAAAATCAAAATAAACGAACAAGGATTCTAATGAACAAAATAAACTGATGAATAAAATAGACAAATCTCAGTGGGAAGGGGGGGGCAGGCAGGAAGAGATTAACCAAAGATTTTATATGCATACTAGGAGCCCAGTGCGCAATTCAAAATCGTGCGGCGGTGCTGCCCACCCTCCGGTCCGGCTCTGCCTCCCTCTCCAGCCCTTGGAAGCAGCTGCTGATCAGGCCCTTCCCCAGCGCAGGGACGCGGAGGCCCCTGCCGCCCCGCCCCTGCGCGTGCAACCTCCAGTCTGGTCAACCCATTATGGTGTCCCAGTTAATTAGCATATTTCTCTATTTTATATATATAAATATACATATCTATGGACACAGACAATAGGGTGGTGAAGGCCTGGACAGGGTGGAGGGAGGCAATGAGGTGGAAAAGAGGGATATCTGTAATACTCTCAACAAAGATTTTTTTTAAAAAAGAAACTTTTATAAAGCATCTATAGATAGTTGATAAGATTTTTATTTCTTTTATTTAAATGGACATTAATATTCATATATATTTACATCTTAAAACTCCACCTAATTTAGTGAAAACAAGGCATAGAATGGCACACTGGCAGCAGAAGGTGCTTATTAACTACCAGTCATTGTTATGAAGTCATATCTATATACAACACTAAAGAAAATAAATAGACTTAACTAAAGTTAATAAGGAGCAAGTATAATTATAAATAATACCAGCTTTTAAACAGGAATCTGTAAAGGTTTTACTACATAAGGATTTCACTCAAAGTAGACAAAATATATAATAATCTCAAACTTTGAGGATACCAAATTAATTTCCTCTTAGTTGAGGCCTCTTCAACCTCAGTAACTTTTCGGAATGAAGCATAAAGTTAATGCTGTACAGTTAAAAGGATTGGTCCAGTTGAGTTTTCTCTATTTTTAATTCCTCCTCTTCATTTACAGTATTGGCAGCAGCATCATTATGCAGATTATCTAGAATGTCTTCCTTAAGTTCATATGACTTCTCGTTTTGATCCTCACCTGTATTAACATCTTCAACTGTCTGTGCCCTGGATGTGTTCATTAACAAGTCTGAAAGAGAAATCATTGTTACACATTATTTAAGCACCTCACCCAATCTTACCTAACACAAATTTCTTCACAAGCTTAGATCAATAGAAATGATAAATATGACCATTTTAGTTCATGTTAATTATGATTACTTCCAAATAAAGCCATTTTTATACATGTATAAAGTCCATTCAAAAATGCAAGAGGTCTTGGCCCTGGCTGGGTGTTCAGTTGGTTAGAACATCTTCCTAATACGCCAATGTTGTGCTTCTATTACCAAGGCTGCTATCATGCACATACAAGGAACAATCAATGAATGAATAAGTAAATGGAACGACAAATCAATGTTTCTCTTTCCCTTCCTTCCTTTCTCTAAAATCAATAAATAAAAATTAAAAAAAAAATTTAATGTAAGAGGTCTTGAAAGGTACTGAACTCAATCAAACTTGAATCACTTCCAAATGCAACCGTTCTCATCCAAAATCACAACTACTAGACATGTTTTAAAAGTTCAAATGCTCTTAACAGCTGTATGTCAAAGTGATCTATAGTAAAGAAAATTTCAGGTACTTATATCTACATGGGCAAATTTTTAAAGTCATATATTATAAATAGAAAATGAGCCTTAAAATGCTTATTGATAATGACAAGGAAGACACTGCTATCAACAATAATTTTATCTTTTTGTAATTTTTCACATGGAAATAAAACATCCATTTGTAAATTTAAAACTTAAATTCACTTTAATTATAAAAAATCATGATAATGTAGTCACAATACTTTTCACTTGAGAATTTTATTATATTGGGTGAACCTTGTTTTATGACATGATAATCTTCACTACTTACTCTAATTCTTACTTTCCTATTTCAAAAGGAAAAACTGGATTGGAAATAGAGAATGACATGCCATCCTGCTTCATTCAAAGCCAATTTGCAATTTTATTTATCTACCTACCTATTGATTTTGATTGATTGATTTGAGAAACATCAACTGTTGTTCCACTTATTTATGCATTCATTGGTTAATTCTTTTTTTTTTTAATATATTTTATTTATTTTTTACAGAGAGGAAGGGAGAGACATAGAGAGTTAGAAACATCGATGAGAGAGAAACATCGATCAGCTGCCTCCTGCACATCTCCCACTGGGGATGTGCCCGCAACCCAGGTACACGCCCCTGACCGGAATCGAACCCGGGACTCCTCAGTCCGCAGGCCGACGCTCTATCCACCGAGCCAAACCGGTTTTGGCCATTGGTTAATTCTTATATGTGCCCTGATTGGGGATCAAACCCAGAACTTTGGCATACTGAGTCGATGCTCAAACCAACTGAGCTACCTGGCCAGGGCTGCAGTTATTTCTAAATACAGTTTTGTTTTGTTTTTGTTAATTCTCACCTGAGGATATTTTGTCCATTGATTTTTACAAAAAGCGGAAGAGAGGAAGGGAGGGAGGCAGAGAAAGAAACAGAGAGAGAAACCAACCGGCTGTCTTCCTACGTGCCCCAACAGGGGCCTGGGATCGAACCTGCAACCAGGTACTTACCCTTGAGCTGGAATCAAACCCAAGACCCTTCAGTGCACAAGCCAACATCCAACCACGGAGCCATACATATCGGCCAGGGCTTAAATACAACTTTAACAAACATGGTTGTCTAGTTTCCAAACCCACAGTCTGTTTTAAAAACAGCACATTTTGCCCTGGATGGTGTGGCTCGGTTGGGTGTCGTCCCATGCACCAAAAGGTTGCTGATTCAATTCCCGGTCAGGCATGTGCCCAGAAAGGGAGTATGCAGGAGACAGCCAATCGATGTTCTGCTCTCACATCAATGTTTCTCTTTCTCTCTCCTTCTCCCTTCCTCTCTCTCTAAAAATCAAAAATATTTTTAAAAATTAAAACAGTTCATTTTATGGCAGTTTTTCTAGAGAGAAGGGAATGTAACAGGTAATCAAACTGATAGCTCACAACAAGTGACACAAGGCAAAAAAAACAACAAAGCATTTTAGGGCCCAGCTGGTGTGGCTCAGTGGTTGAGCATCGACTTATGAACCAGGAGGTCACGGTTCAATTCCTGTCAGGGCACATGCCCGGATTGCAGGCTCGATTTCCAGTGAGGGATGTGCAGGAGGCAGCCAATCAATGATTCTCTTTCATCATTGATGTTTCTCTCTCTCTCTCTCTCTCTCTCTCTCTCTCTCTCTCTCTCTTTCTCTCTGAATTCAATAAAAATATATATATTTTTAAAATTTTTAGGATCACTTATTCACATCATAGCAAATGGCTCTAAAATCCTCACTGGGTGCAAAAAGCATTTTATATGTTTAGGAAAAGTACCATAATAATTAATGTTCATAATTATGATCCTAAAGACAAAATTGTATTACATGCTTTAAGGAGTCAGGGAAGAATATGTTTTTGAAAGACTCAGAATCAATTTTAAATTATTAAAATAACTCTTTAAGAGGTATTCAACTATTCAGAAAACCATCTTGGATCATTTATTCTTTGGAGATTCCAAATAGGTAACACACACACACACATACACTGTCTTTTTCTCTCAACTGTACATAAACTTAATATACTATATCATTTTTCTATTTCTAGAGGTATTTTATTTGGAAGATAGTAGAGAAGTTAAAATTTCTAACATGCCCTTGCTATATTAATGGTAACACATAAAAACCAGCGTAACATTTACCATTTTCTAAGGACTGACTATTACTCAGTAGCTTTGCCTGTCTTCTTTCCAAGGCCAGCTGTTTATTTCTCTGAATTCTTTGTTGTTGCTCTTCAGTTAGGCTTCTACTTGACTCAGAAGCAAACGTCGCATTTTCAGATGAGTTTGTCAAAAATGGATCTAATTCAGTAGCAGTTACATCATGGTCATTATTTTCCACTACTTCATCTGCAGTAGGAAAAAAAAAAGTGAGTACATCTCTAGTATTAAACTAGTTAGAAAAATATCTTATGTAGCTATTAATTTAAAACCAGTTTAAAGTGACAAGGTGCAGACCAGAAGAAACAATTGGTGAGGCATGAGAATGTTACAAACATGTTTGATTCAAACAAGTAAAAGGAATATTTATAAGTCACTTTAAAGAGGCATTTTAAGTCAAATGAAAACACTAATTTAAAAATATACATGACCGGCCCTGGCCGGTTGCTCAATGGTTAGAGCATCGACCTGGTGACTGAAGAGCCCAGGTTCAATTCTGGTCAAGGGCATGTACCTCAGTTGCAAGCTCAATCCCTGGCAGTAGTCGGGGTACGGTAGTCGGGGTACGTGCAGAGGGCAACCAATCGATGTGTGTCTCTCACATTGATGTTTCTCTCTGTCTCTCCCCCTCCCTTCCACTCTTTCTAAAATCAATGGAAGCCCTAGCCAGTTTGGCTCAGTGGATAGAGCACTGGCCTGTGGACTGAAGGGTCCCAGGTTCAATTCTGGTCAAAGGCATGTACCTTGGTTGCAGGCTTGATCCTTGGCCCTGGTCAGGATGTATGCAGGAGGCAACCAATCAATGTGTCTCTTTCATCACTGATGTTTTTATATCTCTCTCTCCCTCTCCCTTCCTCTCTGAAATCAATTTAAAATAAATAAATAAAATAAATAAAAATCAATGGAAAAAATATCCTCAGATGAGGATTAAAAAATATATATGAATGGAAAGCAAAAGTTCTTAGTTATGATTAGAAATATTTTATGCTTGGACTAGTAAAAGAACTTAAAGAATCCAAAGAATATTCTTATTTTATGTTAAACAAAAACATTTTAATAGCTTGCCATAATACACAGTAATAATTTTATATAGGCTATTTTTAATAGGGTAAAACCCAGACACAAAACTAGGAAAAGAAATTTAGAGATCTGTGGACATAGTTCCAAGTTAATATTTTTAATTCAGTGCATTATTCTCTACATTTTTACTCTTAATAAACTCTTAAAGCCATGTACACTAGTTATTTCAAAGTAGGATACCCCCAAAATAATCCACAATGTTATGGAAAGTAAATATTAAATCTTCCATTTATAATTCATTTAAGAATTATGAAAAATCGCCAAAACCGGTTTGGCTCAGTGGATAGAGCGTCGGCTTGCGGACTGAAAGGTCCCAGGTTCGATTCCGGCCAAGGGCATGTACCTGGGTTGTGGGCACATCCCCAGTGGGAGATGTGCAGGAGGCAGCTGATCGATGTTTCTCTCATCGATGTTTCTAACTCTCTATCTCTCTCCCTTCCTCTCTGTAAAAAATCAATAAAATATATTAAAAAAAAAAAGAATTATGAAAAATTAAATTTTACTAACATATTTAAAATAAGAATGGGCAGTGATAAACTATCACTTATCCATATGACAGCTTTCCTATGGCGGAAGCTAACTTAATAAAGGCAGCTCCACATTGAGGAAGGGGAGGAGAGTTGGGCTCACTCATTTTTTAATTTCAGCATATTGTGACACACAGCTGATTCTGATTGCCCAGTTAAGTCGACTAACAGGCTAATTTTAACCAAAACAACCCCAACAGAATAAACAAGCGGTAGTTTAAAAAGATTTGTTTGCAAAATAAACACCTGAAAGTAGAAGATAATACAAGTACAAGCAAACTAAAAAAATCTATATATATAAAAGCCTAAGTGACCTTTACAACCAAACGACTAGAACGACTGGTAGACCAGTCACTATGATGCGCACTTACCACCAGGGGGCAGACGCTCAATGCAGGAGCTGCCCCCTGGTGGTCAGTGCATTCCCACAGCCAACCTCCCACTGCCCCTCCCCCACGCCGACTGGCCCCCCCATAGGCCTTGATCACTGGCCAGGCCAAGGGACCCCCCACCCGTGCACTAATTCGTGCACCGGGCCTCTAGTAAAAAATAAATGGCAAAGCTGATACTTTCCCTTCTTTTTACATCATTCACATAATAGGGTTAAAACATAACCTCATCAAATCTGACAACTAGGCAAGAAAAAAAATTTTATCACCAGGACCATCATTAAAAAATAATAATAAAGAAAATGAAATATTAATTTACATACACCATCCTTATGTAGATACTATGCACTGAGATTAGCTGGTGATAGTAAAAACCAGCACAACTATCAAAACATTTCAAACATGAAGACAAACCTTTATAATTATTCTAGTGAGGTTTAAAATTCATATATTTAATCCAGTCTTTTACAATTCAAACCCCTTTTGAGGTTTCTGCCTTCCTGACATGGAAAAAATTCGTGGCAAGAAACTAAAATGCATTCCTTTATCAGGAAATATTAATGGCATACAAGTAGAAAACTTTGCTGGGGAAGTTAAGAAATGTATTAGAACCAATTGTGCAATATGTAGGGTTTCTAATATGCTTCACCTCATAGGACTTACAAGATTCTGAATTAATAATAATGAAATAGATAAAGATCTACTTTTTGTGAGCTATAAAAGGAAAGATATCATCAACAAGAAATGGCCTCTTTAATACAATGTTTTATGGAAAAACAATGTGAATGTAACCACTGCTGGAGCTTAGACTAGGATAAAAATGGGATTAAAAACAAATGATAACCACACATGAAATACATTTACTGCAAGTCATAGGCAGACTATTGTGGCAAAGAAGCTAAAGCCAGAAATATTCAATGTGTTACAGGATGCTATCATGTTGGTACACATAATCTAAAAGATAAGCAAATTATTTAATAAAGGGAAACAAATGCTATTTAAAAGAACATAGGGAGGCCCTAGCCGGGTTGGCTCAGTGGATAGTCAGCCTGCAGACCAAAGGGTCCCGGGGGTTCAATTCCGGTCAAGGGCACATACCTTGGTTGCAGGCTCCTCCCCTGGCCCCGGCCCTGTTCGGGGCTCCTGCAAGAGGCAACCAATCAATGTGTTTCTCTCACATTGATATTTCTCTCTGTCTTTCCCTCTCTCTTCTACTTTCCCTAAAAATCAATGGAAAAACATCCTCAGGTGAGGATTAAAAAAAAAGTATAGGGAGCACTAGCTGGTTTGAATCAGTGGACAGAAGGGTCCTGGTTCAATTCCGGTCAAGGGCACATGCCCGGGTTACGGGCTCCAACCCCCATAGGGGGTGTGCAGGAGGCAGCCAATCAATGATTCTTTCTCATCATTGATATTTCTATCTCTCTATCCCTCTCCCTTCCTCTTTGAGATCAATAAAAATATATATTTTAAAAAGCATAGGGAAATCAGGATTAACAAGTATAATTTTAGCAGTGTGGTTAGGAAGACTTCACAGAGTTGACAGTTGAGCACAGTCCTAAAGATAGTAAAAAATTTGGAGGCTGGAGGACAATGTTCAAGGCAGAGTGAGAGAGTGCAAAAGCCTTAAGACAGAAATGTGCCTGGAAGGTTCAAGGAACAGCTAAGGAGGCAAGTGTAGCTGAAGCAGTGTAGGTAGGGATACAGTCAGAGAGGCAAGGGGGATGGGTTGAGGACACAGAACAGATTCTGTAGGGCCAAGTTGGACATTATAAGGGTTTTGGCTTTTACATTGAGCAAAATAAGGAGCCACTAAAGGGATATGAGCAGAGGAGTAACAAGACTACACATTAGTAAAAAATATTAAAGTATAACCCCTGCTTAATTTTTAAGAAAACCAATTGATTACAAAATGGTAAATGAAATTTTCTAGTAAACTTCAACAAAAAAACCTTGCATTGGTGAATGGATTTAAAAATGAACATTGAGATTTATTAAATACAATTAATGACTTATTTCCATGTGGATTTATGTATTTTAGTAAGGTAAAAACCAAGATTTGATGGAGGGGGGAAAAGTGTTACTGAATAAACTAACTCAGTAGTAGATGGTGTGGGATTTAGTACTGTAATAACTAATCCCTTTCCATATATCAAATCCTATGCCATCAGTACATACCATATATTACCAAAATATTAATTAATCTTGGATTATTTAAATCACAATCTTTCACTTTTAATAACTTTGGGGAATTCTATATGGAGCCTGTATTTTCCACCACATATATTAAAAGTTTAAAAAGCAAACAAACATGTATGGAGCCATCGCACAGGAAATCTGATAACTATACAGACCTGTCGGCAGGAACCATATGTTTTGATGTGTGTGACTGCCTATGGTTGCACTGTACAGCCAACAAATGCAATCAATACCAGGAACAGTCACATAGGTCTTACTAAAGTCCTATACCCAAGATCTGTACTCTTTTTTTATGTTTTTATTGATTTCAGAGAGAGGAAAGGAGGAGAGAGGGACAGAAACATCAATGATGAGAGAGAATCACTGACCTGCTGCCTCTTGCACACCCCCTACTGGGGATCAAGCCCGAAACCTGGGCATGTTTCCTGACTAGGAATCGAACTATGACCTCCTGGCTCATAGGTCAATACTCAACCACTGAACCATACCGGCTAGGCCAGGATTTGCACTCTTAAGTGAAATATAAACTATTTCATCATCAAATTATTCTGCCTAATTTTCCCAGAGCCACTTTTTTAATGGTGTACATGTATTTTGTCATATATTTTTACTAATAAGCACTACAAAGGATCAGTGGGTCACCATCAGAGTTCTTAAAAACTCATGTTCTATGGCTAAATACATTTTTACATCTCTTAATAACATTGCAGCCATTTCTTTAAAGAAACAAATATACACAACATTCTAAATCTACCAAAGCATTTAAACTCATTACTGTACTTTAATTATACTAGTATACTCAACATAGACTAAAAACCAGTCCTGTAATACTGTCCACCCAACTAATCCATTTCTAAAAGAAAAATTGTTATAAAGTAGACAAGCCTATATTCTTACCATTATTGCTAATAAAATCTTCATGTAAAATAGGGAGATCAAGTCGAATTTGTTTTAAACAGGTCTGAAAAGAGACATTTTTACATTTTTGTTAATAACATTTGGAGGAAAATGGTCATTTATTCCATTCTGAGTTTCAAAAAAGATGTTCTTTAAATAACTACTCATTTTCCTTCTTTCTACCAAGACAGATTTAAAAATTAAGACCCCCAAACAGCTACTCAGCCTTAACTAAATCTTACCTCGTACTATTCAACACTGTGAATGAAACTCATAATAATCTCAACACATACCTGAACTTCCTTTTTATTTCCCAGGTATTCAACTCTGTCAATAAAATCCTCAAATTGCAGTTTAGGGAATAGCCGATGTGCCCAGTGCTCCATGTGTCTGATTAGCGTCTTCAAGTCTTCAGCCTGGCACATAAAAATAAAAATGCTAAATAGAAAACTCATTCTCAGAACTGATCTGGTCAGCAGATTTTAGAACTGAATAGTGATGACAAAGTCATTGGTGTCACTTTACATTTATAAGGTGAAGAAATTATAAAAAGAAAAATATTTATTAAGGACTTAGAGGATTGCAGTCTAAAAGAGCACTGGATACACATTTTTTTTAATCAGAGGAAATAAAACAGATGAAAGTTTAATAGGCCCTAGCTGGTTTGGCTCAATGGATAGAGTGTCGGCCTGTGAACTGAAAGGTCCCAGGTTCGATTCCGGTCAAGGGCACATGCCCGGGTTGTAGGCTTGATCCTCACTGGGGGACTTGCAGGAGGCAGCCGATCAATGATTCTCTCTCATCATGGATGTTTCTCTCTCTCTCTCTCCCTCTTCCTTCCTCTCTGAAATCAATAAAAATATATTTTAAAAAAGTTTAATAGAAATTAAAAGATAATCACATGTGGTTTTGCAGGACAGTAAAGTAACCCTAAAAATAAGCTTTAATAAAATATATCAAGATATCTTTTAGGAATAACTAAACAAAGTGGTTGGTCCCCTAAATCATATATAGAAAAGAAAGCATTGAGAATTCAGCATTGTGAAAATACATTCAGAAATCCCAAGAACAAAGTACTGAAGACCAGCAAGAACAGTTTAAACATTCTCAGACCAGAATACCTATGTTTGAAATTTCAATGTAACATTAAAAGTTTTTTATATTAAAGAAATACATGCCGAAACCGGTATGGCTCAGTGGATAGAGCGTCGGCCTGCGGACTGAAAGGTCCCAGGTTCGATTCCGGTCAAGGGCATGTACCTGGGTTGCGGGCACATCTCCAGTAGGAGATGTGCAGGAGGCAGCTGATCGATGTTTCTCTCTCATCGATGTTTCTAACTCTCTATCTCTCTCCCTTCCTCTCTGTAAAAAATCAATAAAATATATTTAAAAAAAAAGAAAAAAGAAATACAAAGCTTTTTTGTTGTTGTTATCCTCACTGAGGATATTTTTTCCATTGATTTTTAGAGATAATGGAAGGGAGGGAGAGAGGTTGCCTCATGGGGCCGGGGGATTGAACCTGCAACACAGGTATGTGCCCTTGTCCAAGAATTGAACCCACGACCCTTCAGTGTGCGGGCCAATGCTCTAATTCCTGAGCCACCTGGCCAGGGTGACAGTTCTTAAATGTCTCCATTTTTCAACAAAACTTAATTGATGCCTATTATAAACCAGGCATGGTGCCTTATCTTAGGGACACCTAAGTGATCAATACAGGTAAAGTCCTTGCTCTCATAAAGCTTAAAACCACTCTCTGAAGTAGACAAAGTAAATTTTATTCCTCAGAATTATAAAGTACAAAGTCAGGCTTACTGACTCATACATGATTTTACTAAACTCATACGGTGGCAAAACCAAGACATGTTTTCTGATTCTTCTAACAGAGCCCTTTCCACATCATAGTTTCTCAAAAGATACAATGATGAATGATTACATCTGTAAAACATTCTAAGATTCCTAACATTATAACAGACCCAGTTTTATAGAGTCAGTCAGCCCTACCTATGAGTGGGTTCTGCATGCATGAATTCCACCAACTGTGAATTGAAAATATTCAGAAAAAACAAATGTTATGCTGTTGCTGACATGTGCTATGTAGTTTGGCCTATGATGGTTGCTGCATCTGTATTGAACATGTACAGACATTTTTTCTTGTCATTATTCCCTAAACAATGTAATATAATAACAACTATTTACTTAACATTTACATTCTGTTAGGCATTACAAGTAATCTAGAGATAATTTAAAGTAGGTTATATGCAAATACTATGCCATTTTATATAACGGCCTTGAGCATCTGTGGATTCCAGCATCCACAGGGGTCCTGGAACCAATCCCCCACAGATAGTGAGGGACAACTATATTTTCAAAAACAAAGATAAAAACCAGACATTTCTTACCTCATGACCTTTACCTTTAAATTTTGTCTTATCAAACACATGTCTTAATGCTGGAAGCCCTCTCTCTGAAATCAATCTGTGAATAGAAATATGTTTTTAAATTCCAAGTTTTCTAGAACTATCAAGGCCAAACCAAGACCATAAGAAGAAAAGATATTATCTGAACTGAAAAAAATCTATATAATAAAAGCCTAAGCCAGTGATGGCGAACCTATGACACGCGTGTCAGAGGCGACACGAGAACTCATTTTTTTGGTTGATTTTTCTTTGCTAAATGGCATTTAAATATATAAAATAAATATCAAAAACATTAGTCTTTGTTTTACTATGGTTGCAAATATCAAAAAATTTCTATGTGACACGACACCAAAGTTAAGTTAGGGTTTTTCAAAATGCTGACATGCTGAGATCAAAAGGTTCGCCATCACTGGCCTAAGCGCTTGTTATGGCGGAATGACCAAAACAACCAGTCGCTATGATGCGCACTGACCACCAGGGGGCAGACACTCAACGCAGGAGCTGCCCCCTGGTGGTCAGTACGCTGCCACAGGGGAAGCGGGGCTCATGGCTGGCGATCGCAGCTGTGGTGGCAGGAGCCTCTCCTGACTCAGCGGCAGTGCTAAGGAGCAACAAGCCAAGCGGTAAGAAGCAGTGAGCAGGTGGGCGGTAAGGAACAAGGGGTCCTGGCCCTCCCCCCCCCCC